CCCCAAAACCCCAAAACCCCGCTATAAGAAAAGCAAATAGAACACAGATTGATTGATAATTTGTAATATACATTAATTAATATTTAGAGTTTTCATTTGTGCCTTATTTACATTGATGTCAGGATGTTTCTTGATTGATAAGCAAAGTAGTAATTCATAATTTGGAATTCTCTCTCAATTCAGCATAGCCGAATACAGCTAGCCTGTTTCTTCTTTCTTTAATGGTGCCCTCAAAGATTATTCTCTTTTCTTTCCTCCAAATGCTTACTACCAAGGTCTCACCTGGATAAATTGGAGTAGTAAATCTTGCTCCAATCTTTCTAAGTTTTTCATGATCTTACTTTGAATCAGGATTCTAACAGTAATTTTCGTAAACGATTCTACTAGCTATTCCAAATGTGCACAGACCTGGCAGAATTGGCTTTTCAAACCCACCTAGCTCTGCCAGGCCTATATCAATATGAATAGGGTTGTAGTCTCCTGTCAATCTATAGATAAGGGAAGTGTTAGACTATATCTTTTCAGTCACAATTCTTTCTGGCTTTGTTGGAGGTTTTCTAGGAGACGCTAAAATAACTGATCCTTTATATCCAAATCCACCTAAACCTCGAATAAATATAGTTTACGTGCTTATAGCCACTAATTCCCCCTTTTCATCAGTGCATTTAGACTCTTTAGTCAGTAACAAACCTTTAACCTTGTCTGCTACATCTAATACTCTCCTATCAAATGTATATTGGACATTAGGTTTTATCGATTAATAGATTTCAATGACTTATTCTCCAAAAAGTAACTATGTAGGGTTAAAATCTTGCATGCCAGGTATTTATCTTTCTTCACTGATATGGCCTGATCCTATTCCCCCGATCACAGGCATAGTGCAAAAAGCTTGAAAGTCTTAATCGTTTTCGTATACATATTTCATCTACGACTCCCATTTAGGATCTCTTCCCAGTCCAATAGCATAATCATACAATATGATATCCTTGTCAGTGAATCTAACAAGCTTCAATGGATATTTATAGCCTATTATCTTCTTGGGGTCTATTAACTTGCCATTGCCCTTCTTTAAATCCTCAAACAATAAGTTTCTTTTCATGTTTTTTTTTTTGAAATTAATATACGTCACCCTAATCTAAATTAGCTTTATAAATTATATAAATTATTAAATCTAAGTTTTTATCATATAATTTCTTTATATTACTGCGAGTTATTGAGCGGGGTTTTGGGGTTTTGGGT